GTCAAATTGTGAACGACTGTGACTAATTCATATTTAGTACACATTTAAAACTGGCCCTGACACCTGTCATTGTTACATTGCACAAAGACACGACACGTGTCTGAGTCACTTGTCGTGCAATCTACTGTTATACAAGTTTCCATTTTTAATTTTTATTCATTTTATTAAAAAAATTGACCACGGGCTTTTGGCCACAGATTATACTCTTATAAAAGTATTTTTCCATCTTTTTCAATTATATTTTGTCTGGATACCCTAATATTCTTTGCATGTAAAATTGTGTATGTATAATTGCATGATGTCCGGATTACCGGTACCTCAGTGCATATAATACGAACAAACACATTACTTCATGTATGTAAATACCCCTTTTTTTTTCGTGCGGAAATCCGTTTGGATTTGTATGAAAATATACCTGATATAAGCCACTTGGTTTATAAAAACGCGTGTTGTATATACAAAGTTGAGTGAAAATTCAAACCAGTCGATAAAAAGCTTAACATTTACGATTATCAACACTCGAATGTTAAATTTTCAAATCAAATTTGGAAGCCGTTTCAGTTTTTTTTTCTTTTGAACCAGCAATTTAATGACAATTCCGATAAAGCATATCACATGTGTCGTGTGAAAGCACCTTTATATTCGCCTAATTTCAAGTTTAAACAAACAAGTAGCACGATATAATAAAGTCCTTTCACACGGAGGACGGAAGCGTTTAATGGTGTCCACTTCCATGCTCAATTTACCGACCTCTGTTACAACAACACACTTGTTTGTTCGTATGATACCGTGTTTAAAAAAATATTTACCACATGGTAAGACTCATACAGTGTAATTGCAGGTAGTTTAAAATAGATAAATTAAAAACCATCATCACCACACTCATCTTCAGAAAAAACAAGTAAAAATACTGAACACATTTATGTTTTTGCTTTTTTCTAAATTTAAAAAATAATAAACTGACATTGACAGACCTGTCTAACAATCTATATCGCGGATCGATGCATTCATTCATTCGATTAAGACTGAATGAGTGAACTAATATGATTTGATATTTATATGAATTGATGGTTCGTACTTCCTCTTTTGATGAATTGGTCACCCAACGACTATGAAAGATAATCTCTTCGCTTGATTTAGTTTAAAGCGATCAGACTTTATCAGAGAACAGATTCTATGATCTGGATTCAGCATTTTTCATCATGGCTTTGATATAGTCAGTTAAAAAGTATCTTCTACAAAATCATGGTTGTATTAATTCCTTTTGCCGGTTAGTTGTTATAGCTCTAAGGAGAAGGAAGGTAAAATTGATGAACCCCATGTGATGGCTTTGGCTTCATCATCAGAGCAGTTATATTATTCACCCATAATAAATATATATACAAAATTGAATTTCAATGTTTCAACGTTTAATTTAAGGTTAAAATTTACTGCGCACTTTTAGTTGCAAGTGCAATTAAATAGAAATGAAAAGTCAACGTCATTAATAAATTTATTTCCAGTTATAAGGACCCAAAGACCTTTCACAAAGTCTTATAAAGAGGGGACTGATCTCAAGTTGCAACTAACATAGAAATGAGATATATGGCATTTGATTAAAGTGTCGTCGTTCCTCTCCAACTAAGTTATAGATAGATGTAAACACTAATTCACAGTCACACGACGTCCAATCCTTGTACGGAAATGCGTGAACGTATAAAATTAATTATTCAGTAATAGCTTATTAGTGCTTATCTCCCGTTTATAATCTCTGTAAGTATGACTATAACATCGATAGGCGTACTTCATCTTGCCCTGGGTCTAATAAATAATAAAAAAAGATATATTTTTAAACATACAACTTAATAAATATTAAATCCAAAAAATCGTCCAAGTCAATTTGATATTTTCATTCGCTGCATTACCGTTGTTAAGAGTTGAAATATTTTTCATATAATTTTAATAGTAATTAAAATTTTCGTGCATGTTATTAATATTTAATAAATATACATATTTTCAGCCTAATTTGACGTCCGCCTTTTCCAGGAATACTATCAGTGGTAGACAACCGTACTTCATTCTACAGAATATCTCAGTTTTCTGTTAAAATGTACGATGGACAAAATCCCTATAACTTTTTGGCTATATATTATCGGTGTCTCCAGTGACTTATTAGTACCGGTATTCTAATGTTTTAATTAGTAGTAAAGACTATAGTCGAATGAATATCTAGTTGACATGCCCTTCTAAATGATACTCTCCTAATCACTGGGACTAAAGTATGGCTTTGCAAATCCGGCCTCCTCTCAATGCTGTAGTATCAGTCCCTCATTAAAATCTTTCGGTATCCCTTACGCTAACTACTTCGCTCTATCTTTTTTTTAACCTCTCACTTGGTCCCGTCTCTCACTTGGTATCAGCAGATGGCTAGCCTTAAAAGAAAATAGTTGAAACGCTATACAATGAAGTACCTTGACCTCAAATAAAAATAATAATAATATTAACTTTACACATCTCACACACGGCAGTCTGATCGCAAACTAGGTAACACCTGTGCTATGGTAACCAGACTGCTTACTGCTACTTAGAAACGTACTTAAATATTTCTAAATGCATAGGTACATATTAATAGATAAATTACATCCAGGCATCGTGCTTATTACAAAATTATTTGTCCTGGGTGGAAATTAAACGATGACCTTCGGCTTAGCAGCTAGGGTCACTTATCAGACCAACGGGCCCGCTAATTTTGATGAGACCAGACATTTCATAATTATTGTAGTGCATTGGTACCAGTCACTCTTTAAATAAGTATTTACAAAGTAGCTTACACCAAACAGTAATACAATCTTTGCAAGATCTTGGAACGGAGTTGTTCCCACGCCGCGATTTCCGCAGGTGCGGACGATCTCGTCTTACACCGGACACAGAGACCTTCGTACTCTGTACCCCATCATGCACACAATTGATTTTTTTCCGAACGTGAATACAGAGTCATGCATAAATACATTTTAAATGTATACGATATATCTATCTATAATTTAAGGTAATTCAATGTTTTTTACAGCTGTTGCATTGGTTATGTAAACACAATGAAATCCTGTTTCTTTAAGTTTCACCTTTAGTTTACTAATAAAAAAATATTACAAGAGGAATTTACAAGAGGAAACTTAAAATTTCAAATTGAAATGCAACTGACCGATTGAATTGAAGTTTAAAACTTTTAAACGAAAAAGTTAGTAAATTAGTAGTCAGGAAATTAATAATATATAGGGCAGGCAGAGAGGCCACCTAATGGGGTCACCCTTGGCTCCGCTTACTCATTTACCCCTTCTATCATAGAAACGAACGATGATCTTGTATTAGTAATTCTAGGAAACCTCTAATACCTAATTGTATTTGCTGTCTCAACAATAGCCGGTTCGTTATCCGTAATGTCACAATCACAACACAAAGAAAGAATTTCTTTTTCACAAACAAAACAACCTCGCATTGTTACCGTAGCCGAGCGCATATTCCCAAACGCTACTGTTGCTTATGTGTTAATTCGTACAGTTTCCTGTGATAATAATTAACAAATAACAAAAGCTGTTAACACACAATAGGAACAAATAAGATCTTTTCTTTTCGCTCCATCTCATTTTCACATAGAGCTTATTGTTTAATACCTTTATGGGAGCTTTTTAATTTACTTTTAAATGTCAACTAAAATGTCATGAGAATTTCTCACAAAGGATAATTGTAAATAAAGATCTGACATTGTTTCAATAATGTAGGAGCATATATTATCTTAATTGCTGTTTATCGGTTTAGCTTCCACATACAACAAAAAACATATTTTAATGCCATCTAGCGAAGACACAGAGAACTACAGAGTAACTACTAATCCTTCATCGCGCAACGAAAGTTAATACATACATATTGTATATATTATAGAATGACAACCAATGCTCATAGACATTCATACAAACAAAATTTTTCAGTTTGAAGTTGTTGTCGAACATTTTAATCTCACTATTTGATAGAGATGGGATCACCCGGTTTTTCATTCCAAACATTTGGACCAAATTAGACATAGTAACTGGTTATTTAACTATATACCAACTCGTTGTGTTTTAACTCTTTCAATTTATATTAAAGAGTATTACTGACTGACTATATAATCTACAGGGTCTGCTGATAAAGGCTAAAGGTAAAAATAGGAACTTTATTACTCAATTTTTCAGTTTGATAGTGACAAGGGTGACAAGGTTTTATTTTGGTGTTGGCTGCGTATAGTGAAGTTTAGTAGAAACTTAAATACTTTTTTCAAGAGTGATTTATATTTATTTTGTGATTAAATTTGACGTGTATTTGTGATATAATTGTATTGCACGGTTGTGTATGCATGATATTTGAACTTATGATTATTAATTTGTACACTATTTTCAGTTTTTTATAATTATTATACGTTTTGTTGATGTTTGTGGATGTGAATGTTCCATGGCTAATTTTACAAAACTGTCATAGAGTACTTTTGTATGTAAACTTACACTTTGCACAGGTTTTTTTACGTATTATATATATTCACGTAAAAAATAATGGGTGATGTCATGTTAGAAAAAGATGTAATTTCTTAACAACATTGAAATATTTTACATTCAGAAGAATATCAAAACGTCAAATATATAATTTACTGACACTTATTATTTGTTAAAACAAACTTTTTAGGCAGATTTTTCTGTAAATTGCTTCTTAGAGTCAGTAAAATAATAAGCGAACACATTTGACAATATATTTTAGTCACGATTACAATGATCGTTACCTTTGCAGCAATAATAAAACGTTGTAACAAAACAATCAATGGATCCGTTTATGATACTTTTAGTCCAAGAAACTACATCCAGACATTAAAGTTTGCTCCTTTCCTCCACACCACTAATAGCAACAACAATCTGTATTTCTAGTAAGGTTAGGAATTAATTCTTCCACAAACAGTACTAAGTTGTATCTAAGTCTTACCATCACATTTTCTTCTACAGACGATGAAGGCGGCCACATCAAGCAGGGTTACGAGTCGCGCCGACAGAATGACCTGTACATGCGTCTTGGCCTGCTCCTTGGTGAGCGCCGAGGCTCCAGGAACAAGGCTAGAGATAGCTGCACATCTCTTGCGTCACTTGATGCTCATACCTTGGCGTCACATAACACTAGCCCTGTAAGTATTCCAAACTAACGTTTCTAACTGCGACCGCAACCCTACCATGCACACACAAACCCTAATACATATATTTACACACGCATAGACACACGCATAGACACACCCATAGACACACACATACACGAATGCACACACACACGAATACACACACACACACATATGTTTCTGATCTTTTTGTTACCTACTTACTCTTTTTATTAGTCTTAATTAATTGCAAAGAAACGTTATTTCACACAACAATGTATCTTACCATTATATATAAAAATACACATTGTGATAAAATACATAAAGTCTGTGTCAGGGACGTAACTCACTATATGTACTGTTATGATAAATGTAAGATTATTTTTATTACTTCCTACTTACTTTCAAGATTTAATTGCTCCACTGATCGTCACGCAATTGTGCACACATTGATCAGGGTAAACCTTCTGAAAGCAAGTAGTTGAAAAAGAACTCTTTTAATAATAAGAATTCACATACGGCCATCTAAACTCAAACTGGGTGGAACCTATACTTTGGCAACCCGAATGCTGATAAACTTGCTTATAAATATATTACTAATTACTCCATTGTAGATAAATTACATCCAGACACAGAACAAGTTAAGGTACTTATCACACACTTATTTGACATGACTCTGACTTAGCAGTCAGGATAACAAACCACTAGATGCACAGGCATTCTTAAAATAAAGTTTATTTCTCTTCCACAAAGGTTCCTTAAAATTAAATACTGTATGTGCATAAGTGCAGTTACTGAGATTGGGCTCTTGTTTCCTTCAGGTATCAACTCTCACCGGATCCTCAGAAGTGGAAGTGGCGACGCCCCTAGGTCGTGAATCTCTGGGTTCTCTAGCTTCCATGTCACTGTCTGCGGCCAGCAACTGTTCTTCTTCAAGTCCTGGTAGCAGGCGGCATTCTGTTAACAGTAAGTTTATTATATAAATCAATTAGTGATATAAGAACGTGAAAAGCCGAAGATGTTTTGATTGGTAAAAATAATGGTTATTTCATACCTACTCACAAATATGCAGAATATCCTAACTAAAATACAGGAAAATGAAAACATTATCGTCTTTTGTCAAGAAGTAAGAAAATCAAAAATTCTAATCTATTTTGAATAGTCGTAGTAATCAACTTTATTATAAAAATATGTTCGTTTCATCTTAGTCAATGTTCTCAGTTAATGAATTTTAAAATTCTGAGTTCTTAAAATCTTAATCAATTAAAGATTTTTCAAAATTATTTTTAGCACTCCAAAGTGGTAGATCTGACGAACTTACTCGGATGTCAAGCGGTTTCTTCAAGACGAGGAAAACAGCTGCGAGACGATCCGCCAGGGTTAACAGCAAGCAATCCTCTACATCGTCAGAAATCAAGAAAAGTAAGTAATTATTTTTAAATATGGGCATTTAATCATATAACTATAGTGAAAGTATTTGTCACTGTACTAAAATACATACGAGTAGAACAGGTCACAACTGACTACTAAAGTTTGGAAAATCGGTAACGTTAACAAGTAACAATACAAAATTCCATGTGATGGTAGAGTTTATCTCAAAGGGCCGGCAACGCACTTGTTGCTGGTGTGTTGCAGGTGTCTATGGGAGGTGGTAGCCATTTCCCAATAACCCGTCTGCTCGTTATCTCCGAATACCCTTAAAAATTAAAGAAAAAATAACTATAGTTATTGTGTTTTCCAGTTCACCCGTCACCGCAGCTAACGTTACGGCCCTTATTCTTCGAAGTACCTTCAACAGACAACCAGTCTTACTTCTCCGGCCGACAGTGGCTCATGAGAGACATGGAGAAGTCTTTGGACTCTAGTTCTGCTGGTAAGTTGCTGAACTAAAGTTCCTAATCTTAAAATGTGATTGGTCAGATAAATGGACGTACTCGAAATGACGAAATGATATACTTGAAATAACTAGTAGAAGATGTATTTGATTGGTCATGTGCGTAATTAACTATACATAGATATAGAGTGCGACCAGTACTCATATTGTGACACAGTGTTATCAACTGCAACGCTTGATATTATCCTGAATAATGCAAATCAGTCACTCTACTCGTGAAAAGTTCAAAATGAGGCACGACTTACAAAAATTTCAAGTATGAGTTTAAAACCTGTAAAAAATATACATATTCCTAATTTTTTCTCAAGAAATCTTATTTACTACCTAAGTACTAAACTGCAACCATTTAATTACAGGTCCGATGCCTTACGAACTTTGCCAAAACTAAAGTTATTGCTTTCTTTACAGGTGTCCTGATATCTGGTTGTCCCGGCACTGGAAAGACAGCATTGATATTAGAATTGGTAGAGTACTCCTGCTTTGGTAGAAAGAGAAACTGTGAGTACGAAGAGCTGAGGGAACAGTCAGACATCAGAGAGTTGCTCCCCGAAGAGTTAACTATTGGAATGTTCACCCACCTGGCCTCGCATGTCGTCGCTTATCATTTTTGTCAGGTAAATATATATCTTACTACCCAAGATCATAAAGTAAATTTGCAGTTGATTAATAAATTCCAGAAATTCATATCCTTTCTTTTTGTTTCAGGCCGATAACAACAGCACTTGCCTCGTGGGTGAATTCGTCCATTCTCTCGCAGCACAACTGTGTCAGGCACCAAGGCTACAAGCTTATAGAGAATACCTCCTGAGTGAACCACATCTTTTAGCATGTCTATCTCTAAAGGAATGTATCGCAGACCCAGATTTAGCTTTCATGAGAGGCATTATAGAACCATTGATCTTCTTGAGAAGAAACGGAACTATAGATTCAGCTAACAGCATCATTTTAGTGGATGGGCTTTGCGAGGCTGAATATCATAGGCCTGATCACGGTCACACTCTTGCATCCTTCTTAGGCCGGCACATTGCAGAAATGCCAACATGGTTAAAAGTTGTAGCGACTGTGAGAACGCAATTTTTGGAACTCACAAAACAGTTGCCTTATACAAGACTGAGTCTTGATGAGTCTGATAACGTCCACAAAGATCTCTTGGAGTATTTCAACGTGAGGCTGCAAGCAGCACCAATCATAGAAACCAATATTAAATGCTCTACTGGCAAGTCTGAAGGAGTTCATAATTCTGTCATGAAATTCGCTCAATACGTTCTCCACTTAAGCCAAGGCTCATTTTTGTTCCTAAAATTAATTCTTGACTTGCTGGAAAAGAGTCATATTGTTGTAAAATCGACCAATTACAAAGTAGTGCCAATATCGTTAGCGCAAATATTCTTGTTGCAATTTAATCTCAGATTCCCTACAGTGCAATCGTTTGAGAAAGTCACCCATATTTTAAGCGTCTGCTTAGCAGCTCTCTATCCTTTAACTTTAGTAGAGATATACTACTCCGTCAATTCGTTACTGGTCAATACATTCTTACCATGGGAAGAATTCTGCCACAGATTTGAATCGCTGACAGACTTTCTGGTTAAGAGAATAGATAATACCTATATGTTCTTCCATCCATCCTTTAGGGAATGGTTAATAAGAAGAGATGACAACGAAAGCCCAAAATTCTTGTGTGATCTAAGGGCAGGACATTGTGGTATTGCATTTAGATTATCCAGAGTACAAGCACCGTTAGATTCAGAAAAGTCGATGGAGCTTGGACATCATATTTTGAAAGCTCATATGTACAGAAACATGGGTCCAGCCCAATTGGGTCTATGCCCTAGGGATTTACAAGCAATGCTAGTTGCCACCAGCTCAGCCAATGTTGGTGAGGCAATTGCAAACTTACGGAATATTTACACACCGAATGTAAAAGTTTCTCGGCTAATGCTTTTGGCTGGAGGTTCTCCTAACCAAATTACAGAATGTCTTGGAAATGCACCATTACTGTGTATGTATTCTTATCAAGGAATAATAGCATTGGTGGGGCTCCTAATTGAATTTGGTGCTGATTTGGAAATGACTAACTCTCAAGGTTGCACCGCTTTGTCTCTGGCATGTCAGAGAGGACATACTGATGTTGCAAGGAGACTTATTGCTGCAGGTAAATATCTTTCTATATTGTCCAAATAAAACTTAAATGGTAATCTGTTGATAAAAAATGTATTAAGCACCAACCTTTCCTTTTTACCAAACTGAGAAAAAGCATTTAATTTTTTTTTCTAAGTTTTTTGCACATTGTTGATTTAACAAAAAGCAACAGGTGGTAGCTATTTCGAACTTTCCTAAGAATTTCATCGTATTTATTTATTCAGGACAACTTACAAAACATGCACTAATACATAGTTTACAAACATGTTTTACAAATATGTGCTGAGTGTTGTCTTACTTACAAGTTGCCACGGCATAAAAATTAAAATTTATCTGATTCTCTGGTGATGATCTGGTGGTATAAAAATTTATCTGATTCTTCTTCTTCCAGGTGCATCTCTGAGTCATACAGATACTGCAGAACAAACTCCACTAGTACACGCAGCCAAGAATGGCCACAGAGACACAGTCATTTACCTGCTTGGTTGTCAAACCGGAAGAGACGACAGGAATTCCTTAGACATTGATGATGATAATATCGAGCAGCTGGTACCGGGATCCAGACATGCACTGATAGCAGCTGCCCAAAATGGTCATTTAGATATTGTTGAATATTTGCTGGATACCGCAGAGTTAATCGTAAGTGTAATTACAGTATTCAGTTCAAAAATCTTAAGGGGTCGGTTAACAGTTAACGTTATATGCCAACTACGTTGATCAGACTTCCACTTTAGAAAGATTTTTACATTAGTATGTCGGTAAACAGACAATTTATTTCACAAATTGCAATAGGTAATTTAAAAGTTAATTCTTATTTACAGCCTGACGGCATCTGCCCAGTAACAGGTGAAACAGCTCTCACAGCTGCTTGTTCACAAGGCAATGCTGCGATAGCTGATGCTCTACTTATCCGAGGCGCCACCCCATACTCCTTGAACGCCAGACAGCTATCACCTCTAGCATTAGCAGCTAAAAATGGAAGATCTGCTTTAGTACTCCGGCTATTAGATTCTGGTGCAGATGTGATGGGATCAGGAGGAAAGATCCCCCTTATTCTGGCAGCGGCTGAAGGTCATGTTGATGTCGTTGAAATGCTGTTAGAGCAAGGTAAGACAACTTTGTTAGTTACAGGTATACTGTATCGCTTAAAAATAATTACAATCATTCAATACTAATACTATCTACTGGCTTATATATATATTAACCCTGAGTCGGGCGACTCAGGATTCGCTGGCAATTTGCCCAGCTTGGGCGCCGCAGCGCCGGGTCCTCATTGCAGTCATTAGGGGGGGATCTCTCGGTACCGGCCGTCATACGCTCCATGGCCGGTAGTGACAGATGTTTCACCGCGGTCGCATCCTTCTGCGAAGACGTCATCTCGCAGAACGAGGTGGCGGAGAGGGCCCGGGAGGACAACCTCCACTCGGACCCAATCAGTCGCCGTGGAACCGGGCGGCGGAGGCGCGCTTACCACCGCCTCATGCCGCCCTGAGTGTGGCCGCGGGTGGACGGGACGGGTTTTCCCCTCCACCCGCCATAAGGCGCCAAGGGGAGGCCAGCCGCGAGGAGGCGATGTCCGCGTGTGCCAGACGTCGCCTAAATGGAGATTGTACCCGAAGGTGGTGCCCGCGCCGTTGCGGGCAGGCGCTAGGAGGGGTCCGGATGTCTTAATAACAGCAGTTCCCGGATCCCTCCTATTACAGGCGCAGAGTGGCACACCGTGTGGTTTTAGTCGGTCCGATTCCGACACACCACCCTACCGCAAACCCCGGTGGGGTGACGGCCCGAGGGGGTTTCCACACGTAAATAAAAAAAAAAGGCGACTCAGGATTAATATAACGAAATAACTATGGACTATCGTTAGACGAATATAATTATCTTACAACAGCAGAAAATCTGTTCATGCCTGACTTTTATTCACAATAGACTATTAATTCATGTCTACTTTAGGTGCTGATCCCGATGCAGTGGATGGCGATGGTATATCACCATTAGGCTGGGCATGTCTCAGATCCAGAATACCCACAATCATGGTATTACTCGATAAAGGAGCTACAATTGGTAAGTTGAAATTAATCAACTTTATGTTGAATAGTTTAGTGAATATTTAAACGTTCATTAACAGTATTAATAAAATTAGATTGCAATTTTATCATCGTCTTATCTGATTGTTTTAGATCAACCGGACGGTAATGGTAGAACGCCTTTAGGTCTGGCTTGTGGAGGCCCGGCAGAACTGGTTGACATATTATTAGAAAGAGGTGCTTCTTTAGAGAGAGTAGATCACAGTGGACTGAGGCCTTTAGATAGAGCTATTGGACAGCGTAATGTTCCCGTAAGTCACTTTCTTACATACTAAATTTAATGATTTAACTTAGACTAAACAGCTGTTTTTGCCCATTTGCAGGTCGTAAATTGCTTCCTCAGAAAAGGAGCAAAGCTTGGGCCGACCACATGGGTTATGGCTTCAGGCAAACCAGAATTTATGTAAGTGTTAATTTAAGTTTAAAATATATTCTTTAAAATCTGTCAATCATCAATGTAAAATAGGCAATAAGGTAAATATTTTACTATAAACTTTTGTTTCTTCTGTTATTCGAGATTCTTATTTTGTTTTTGACCATGGAAATATAAACAAATAAAGGTATACCCAAATCTGTAGTATCAACTTAACTAAAATGATTCTTTAATTAATTTGTTATTCCAGGCTAATACTGCTAAATAAGTTGCTAGAAGACGGAAACATGCTATACCGAAAGAACCGACCATCAGAAGCCGCTCACCGCTACCAATACGCACTGAAAAAGATCAATCCGCTAATCAGTGATGAAGGGTTAACAACCCCTACAACACAGCCGGTACCGCATGAGCATGTTTCAGCTTTTGTACAGCTGAAAACAAACTTGTTGCTGAATCTATCGAGGTGTAAGAGGAAATTAAATGTACGTATCCCATTAATCGTTAATATTATCGAAAATGAAAAAAGCAATAATATTTCGAATTTACCATATCAATTATATTTTCGAATGTGGCACATGGCAAAAAACGTAAGATATTTAAAAAAGTAATTGATCATTCTCACTTTGCAATTTCCTACAATATAAATTATTTGGTTACAGGAGCCGTCAGAAGCTTTAGACTTAGCGGCGCGTGCATCAGTGCTTCGCCCAAATGCATTTGAGTGCGCATACGCCATGTCCCGCGCCATACTTGCACTAAACAAACCTTCAGAAGCTCTGCCTCACGCTAGAAGAGCACTACTCCTCGCTCCATCCAACGATATGTCCGCTATGCGAACTTTGAAGGCCTTGCAACAAGAGATTTTGACAAGGATCAATACTGGGTCCCACGGTTTAAACAGTGACTCGAGATCTCTGAGAAATTTTGATACTATCAGTCTCAATATGCCCTAAGTTTCAGGAATCAGATTAATGTACAAAATGAATCATTTTGATGAAACCCATCGATTTTGTATAAAAATATATTGTGCAAAATTATCAATTATTTTCAGTTATTTATTACTATTAATCAAATACAATCTATACAAAATTGCATTATAATATAATTCTTATTTTATATTTCGCTTAATAATTCATAATAAGAATTATTATGGTTGTAAATATGATATGAAGTCGAACGAACGAAAATAAAGATAATGATAGTGACAATTTTTTTATCTGTGTAAATGAATGAAGTCTTTGCACTTTGATATAGTTATATTATTAAAATAATAACAGTAATATAAACTATTAACTATTATAGTTGTTTACTGGTTACGTTATTCAACTATTTGTACAAGATAACTGTTTTATGCTATTTTAATGTTTATATTTATTTACCAGCACCATGTACTATGAGATTTCACGTACGTATCGTATAAAATTGTCTTTTTTTTTAATTGCACATATAGAAAAAGAAATCCATGGACAGATAATTTCTCAATTGTTATTTACTTTGTGAGAATTATTTACGTAAAAAATGTTTATAAAAATGATAATCATAAATTTTTTGTGTATTTAACTGTTTACAATGTGATCATATATGTAAATATGTAATCCTTCCTATTATAACGTAAGTTTTGACAATGTACAGTGTCTTAAAAGTGATTAGCTTTTTAGCCTCGAATGTAATCGTGTTTATGTTATAATCGCTTGCCATTTTTATTAGAATGCTTTAATTTTTTCATCGTTAGTGAAATTAATAAAAATAATATTTTGGTGCCTAAATTTTTCGAATAATTTGCAATTTTTGTTTTGTTATATTTAATATTGATCATTTGAGTTAAACTCATATGCCCATTTTCTTGCTTTATTATTATTTATTAGAAATGAAACAGAGTGAGTTTAAACGTTAAAAGGAATGAGGATTTGTAGTAAAGGTTTTGTTTGTTGTGTTGAATGTATCTATATAAAAAGAGTGATGTATGTTATATTTACTAGTTTATAGATAATTTTATTTATTTTGAAGCCCATTAAATGCATAGCCGTACTTGTAATGTTTTGAATTGTAAATTCTATTTTATTTTAAAATACTTAATAATATAGCGATCACTGGTATAGATATTTAATTATAATAGTGATTGCGCTGTGTACTCTAATTTTAATCATGAAAATAAAAATCATAAAACATTTCAATTTCTATTTAAAAATATAATCATTTCATAAATATCTAAATGAAAAAGGATTTATGTAACAAAAAAACTGGCTGATTGTTTATTTTTTATTTAAGACTGACGCTAAAATATTGGTGGACATTATTGAAACATTTACTTATAACTATGATAGTGTAAGAATTATCTTAAGTACAATAGTTACTCGGGCAGTACATATAATTGTATTAAAATTTTCATATTGCTTTAATTTTTTTTGTTTATTTAACCAAGCCCTCTTAATTTACTACTCCCTAAATTATATCTACTTATAATATTAGTACATTATTTTAATTCTTAACGGGTCACATTGATATGTCTAGTTCACAGGATAAAAATATAAGAAACGTCATATCACTGACAGAGCGGTCTTTGCGATACCAATTTCGACAAAGTAAAGTAAAGAGAAAATCGACTTAAAATAACGGGCGCTTAAAAAAACAAACATATATATATAAAATAATCCGACTTGTAAAAATATCTGAAAAGATTTACTTACAGAAACAGATTAGGGTATCGAGAAAGTATTAAGTTCGGACTATAATCGCTATTTACATTATTTAATAAATCTGGCGATTAAGTATAGTCCGAACTTAATATTATACATACGACATCCTCAAGTCGACAGCCTATCGTTGCAATTTATGCAGCGCTAAACTGACTATATTCTTGTAAGCGTAAAAGTAAAAACTACATTTACGACGTAAAAACTACATATCTTTACAAAGCCTAGCCAAGCAGATTTTACTCACTAGTTTACATTACGAAAGACTTTCAGTAACATAAAACACGAAATAATAAGAACTTTTAAGCCTCTCTTATATTTGTTGTTTGTTCAATTGTGGTAGATTCAAGTTTGGTAGAAAATGAAGTATTGGTAGAAATTGCCGGTACTAGGGTAGTAAACGGTGCTCGGGGTCTGTTGTCGTGGAGCCAAAATGGACGGTTACTCCTATATAAGTTATCTTGGGCTATGGGTAATGCGACCCCTAGCTTAGAATTTCTAAGGTATACGGGTGCGAGAACTAAGGGTTTGTCCAATTCAGTAACAACAGCTGGTTTAATATTAATAACAGTTACCTTTGGAGATTTCTCAGAATCCAAGAAACCATAACTATATATCGGTTTCTTAACAGTCTTTGGTTTCGGTTTACGTATAACCGGGTCAACATTAGGAGGTGAGTATGAGTTTTGAAGGAATATATGGTGATAGTGCTTCATCATTTCGTCGAGTTTTTGCCTCGTGAAGTTTTGGTTAGGACTGGGCGGGGTATCGGTCATGTCTTTAAAGAATTGTTTACACTGTGATGAGTCTTTCCGTTTTGATACAGGACACGTCTGTAAATAGTAAAATTAGAAATGAATACATTTTTAATACAAATTACTAGTGCAATAGTGTCTTACAAATTGAAAACTTCACTCTCCTCTCTCTCATTTAAGGGTTAAATACGGCTCAAATCGAATCTGCGAATACCGTAATTCACAGTATTAAATTGTATATAAATTCACTGTTCTTCCCGCTTTATACATAGCATTTTAATATGATCTTTAAATAAATGACGCACAAGCTTTCATTTCGCGTTGTAGTAACAATAGTTTACTATGTAGTTCAGTTCACCTTCGCTAGATGTCGCTACCTTAGTCGGATTTTAACGTTTTTATAAACGAATAATAAAGTACCTTAAATAAACTTACCAGCAGCATAGCATCAATAACATTCAACATTTTTTTCTGTGAACTGCAATGTTCCCCATACATGGGAATGTTAATAAAGGCGCCCATATATATATCTAGTAACGCGGACCACACGGGCTCGTTTGTGGTAAATTGCCGGATTCGGTCCTTCATTCTAAAGTAATCCATAAACCGGTATTTGTTGAGTATTCCCATTTTTTTCATTACGCACGTTGTCGATGGCTTTTGATCTTGGCACTGCAACATTAAAAAGTTTTTGATATGACACAAAAAGTGAAGAAGGGACTTTACATTACAAGTTAAAATTTACAGCTTTTCATGAGTTTCTTTACTTTATAAAGAGTTGGGTCCTGATACTTAACCCAACTAGTAACCTGAGCAACTAGTCTTCTTTACTGTACTGAACACGTGTTCACATCCAAATTGATCAAATAACATTATTTTTACTTACCAAGTTACGAGAAGAGCTCCAAAAATGTTTTTTTGGTTTAGGTTCCGGTATTACAACATGCTCGGTTTTGTATAAACTGTTTAGACCACATTCAGACAAGACATTCAGATCAACCAATGGAGGCAACAGGCATATTTGACGACGATTTTTCTGAAAAATACAGAAACTATGATAATTTCTGCATTATGTATTTTTTTATGATAAAAGAAAGCCCACGACTGCAACTCAGGAGTCACAAGCGCGTTGCTGGCCTTTGCGGAAGGTGTACGCTCTTTTCGTGAAGGTTTGAAGTCGTATCGGTCCGGAAATACTGCAGGAGACAATTTGTTACACAGATTGGTTTTGCGAGGCGAAAAATTTCTAAAGAAACGCAGTGGTAGGATGAAAGCTTTGCCGAAAACTTTGGGAACAAACTTAAGCCAAAAAACTTACATATTCTTTTGAAATTAGCCCAATTAGTAAACTTACCGGTCTCAATTTAGAAGAACTTATTTGACATCCACCCTTACGTTTGCCATGTCTGAAAAAAGTAATAATAAATGTTATTTTAGTTTTTTAAAGTTCTCTTAAACGATTAAATTACTGCAACACTCACCTGCAAGGATCCTCAGATTTCCTCTTGTATGGGCAATTCTGAAAAGTAATAAATTAATTTGAAAGTCACTTTGTTTTCTAGCTTCTAAGATGATGATGATGCTTGTGGCAATTGATAGTTTTTGATCAAGCCATACCCTACTACCCTTTCATTGCCAAATTGAACCCAAATATTTAAAAACTTTCTAATATTTTTGGAACGAAGTTACTTCACGCTCTGAGCGATGGGAGCGAGACCGAAATATGTGTAACCAGACTTTTTTCCGACACTTTAAGTTTAAAGCAGACTGTATAGCAAACGTCTACCAAGAAGCGAAAGGAACTTACTTCCATAGACCCCTAACGCCGCTTTTGAATTGTGAATAATGACAATTAAAATTCATATCATTTTTAAATTTGTAACACTGTTAATTATAAATTTGTGCTGTGCTCATTATTTTATATAAACTGAAAGTATTCTAAATGTCATATTTCTCTCTACTTTACGCATTAATCAGTACATCAATCATCATCAACAATCTTTAATAGCCCACTCCTGGACATAAACCTCCCCTTAGAGAGGAGGTTTGGCCTACTATATCACGCTGGCCAGACGGGTTTGTGTCAAGTTATCCTTCTCTTTGCAGTGCTGCTGTCCTGCTTAGTTTGCTCTCTTAATCAGCTGGTTACACTCTGTATTCTTAATCCGTCCAACAAGGGCATTAACCAGTACACAATACAGAAAATAATCCGTTCATACCAACCTCAGTTAGCACATCCAACGTACAGGCCAGCATTTTATTTATTTCACAACTACTCTCGTAATCACGTCCTCCTCTACTCAAACATTTACTAAAAACCCTGGCCGTGGGGTTCTTCCAACTAGGATGGGCTTCTGTAAAATTATCCAGCATCCTCCGGAACGCTGTAGTGTCTATGAGACCAGACTCCTCAATGACACCCACCTTTTTGAATACACAGGTCTCTTGGTAGCACTGAAATAATATATTAGGTACATGTAGATTTTTAAACATTACCAAAAATTCAAACATCTATCAAGGAAAATTATGTCACGTCGATAGAAATCATGCATACAGCCAATCTGATACTTTCCAAGGAAGATCAGTTATTCCAAGTCTACGTTAGGGCGCGTACTCGTCACCGCCTTTTAAAACTCAGTACCTGGTAAAATTTACCAAAAAAGAAACCGAGCAAAGCGACCAGCTTTGCTCGGTTTCTTTTTTGGTAAATTTTAAGGTTTTAAGGTTTTAAGGTTTTTTGGTAAATTTTCTAAAAATGAAACCTTGCTAGATCGATTAATTGCCCGCGAAAACCCATGCATACTAAATTTCATGAAAATCTTTGGGGCCGTTTCCGAGATTCAGATTATATATATACAGGAATTGCTCGTTTAAAGATATTAGATACACTCCTTTTTTTAAGTTTTCCCAGGGGAAAATCTGCTGATAGCTCATTCAACAGTATTAACGTTCGCAGGAGGAAATTTCTCGGCAATCGTTCCGAGCTCCGTTGTTCGTACAAGGGTAATACACTGTGTCATAACAAATACGTTCTGGTATAAGAGAATCAGACGTATATATGGTATAAGAGAATCAGACGTGCATTACCGCTTTTTGAGTCTTTTAAAGAGAAGGGGTTGGGCTCCGGAAACTTCACTCACTCGGTATAAAGAAACAAAAGAATTATTAAACAGTGGTATTCTGTGAGGCCGTGGAATTAATCCGATTGAGCCGGCCCATTCGCGCTGAAGCTTAGCTGGTCAACCAATTTATTATTTTATTTGATTATGTTACGATTCAAAAGATAGTACTATCATTAAACTTGAGTTGAGAGAGAGAACTTTTGAACTTTAATTTAATTTTCGTATTTTGATGTGTAGTCGTGACAGAAATATATACACTGTCTACAAATTACAGTAATTGCAAAATATCCCGCTGACTAGCTGACAGAAAGCGAAGGCTTACCAAAGTTCCAATGTAACTCATAAAAATTATACACCATGAACCCAAAGAAACTTAAAAAAAACCGGTCAGGTACGAGTTGAACTAGTGCGCCGAGGGTTCCGTACCTACCCAGATTTTACGTACATTTTCGCGAAAATTTGTAAGTACCAAAATTTATCTTAATTTTCTACTTTTTTTATTTTTTATTTGTGCTGTAAGACGTTTCTTTTTGCCAAATTTCGTGATTCTAGGTCAAAGGGAACTACCATATAGGTTTTCGACCTAAAACCTATAGGGTACTTCCGGTTGATCAAGAATTGTCAATTTTGGTTAGAAGCATGGTCTTACAGCACAAGTAAAGAGAAAATTCAGAAAAATAAAAAAAGTTGAAAATTAAGGTAAATTTTGGTACTTACAAGTTTTCGCGAAAATCGAAATTTACCCATATCTTTTTATTGTGTTGACTCAGGACCTTGATTTTTATATACCTAATAGGGACCATAGACCTCACTATATGGTATAAACTTCAACTTGCTAGGTCTACCCGTTCCTGAGAAAATCGGTGGTGAGACACGGACAGACGGACAGACGGACAAGAAAGTGATCTAATAAGGGTTCCTTTTTTACCTTTGAGGTACGGAACCCTAAAAACCTAACACAATCTAAAATCTGAGAAAATAAATCCAATTCTGGTTCTTAATTTCCTCTAAATCTGCTCCCTCGTTCTCTCTGGTAAATCTAAACATTTTTGTACAAAAATCCGGTATAAATTATTTAAATATAAAAAAGTACTTACCGAATGGGGTAACAACATCAAATCCTTAGGAGGATTAGTTCTCGCTGTAGTAGTCGTCACTGGCGCTTCTGTAGTTGGCTTAGGAGTGTAGTTGGTGATGACCAATCGTTCAGGACCTTTCCAGGTAAGGTGGAACCCACACTCGGTTCTCCAAGAAGGTTGGATAAACCCTGTCATGTCACAACAGTCTAAGGGGTCAACGCTTTGAGATTCCTGTAAAATAATTAATATAAAAGTTAAAGATGATGTAACCATACTTCATAGGATTTTAGATCTAAGGTCATAGTTTTTAGCCTCTGCATTAATGGAAGCATAGCTGATTACAGCCGAAAATATTTAGTAGTTCAAAAATTCTAATGTTTATGTAGTGATTCAGAACATCAGCTCTTAGGAAAAAAGTTTTCTGGATGTATTTTCTATCTGTAGGATGGGACAAACTTTCACTGGTATTGGAGTGGCTGGTCAAGGGAAGCAGCTGCATCCGACAACTGCGGTATATAGGAGTGATTATATTTTTTTTGGTGAGCATGGTTGAAAAATTAGCTATCGTTAGGAATATTTAAGTCCAATTAATTAATCTACGTAACTAATATTCTAAATGAGAATAGTTTATTACTACTCCTTCATGCCTTAAATACTTAACTTATCATTATACACGATATCGCACGTCAGGAGCACCGAATATAAGGATTCCAGGCCCCAGATACCAGTTAGTCAACATAAGGTTCAAATTATAACAGTTTTAGCAACAGTTTTTGAGGAAAAATTCTAGCAAAAACCTCGAAGAAGAACAAAACCCAGAGAAAGTAATGTCCAAAGATTATTTTTATCAAATAATTTGGTGATTTTAGTACTAACAGACTAGACATGAGAGCTAGCTCATGTCTAGTCTGTTAGTACTTATTACTTTATTTATTATTAACGCGTTTTATTGGCGTCAACAGCAACTAACTGATTATAATCACGTAAATAAAATATAGGCAGTAAATGTTAACCTAGTTTAGTAAAAAAAATCGGATTCAAATTAAAAATTGTTTGAAAACGTAGTTTGGATGACAATACTACTATTATGCCTCTTAGTGTTGATCTGATGGCGATCTCGGAATGAGGTGGTTTGTAGGAGAACTCCTTAGTACTTAGTAACCAGTAAATCCATCGATTTTGGGCTCATATAAATTGCTTTAACTTGATTTGAGTTCAATATTTTGGGCTCGGTAGCGATGATCTGATGACGATGATGATGTTTTTGATTCAGTATCCCCTAAAAGTGTGCGCTTTTTAGTATTACTAAACTATAATTAGGTTAATAAATACTTACCAACGGTCTGGAGGTTGTTGTCTGATTCAGTGAGACCATTAAAACCCTGTCTCCGCTACTCTGAGTTGAAGGCTGATGTAAAGATGGTAAAATAGGCGGAGATTGCGTCTATAAACGAAGTAAAAAACAACTATGGAGTTAAATAAATATTAAATACATCACCACCATTTCTATATTTGGTTCTTTTTGTTGTCTCTACTAGGTCAAAACACGAGTCACCTTGCATCGGTAAATGCTGCATGTGTGATCTCCTGGTTTGAAAATAAAAACAATCTACAAGCATTCTTACTCACTCTCTGTTTATTATTACGATGCAAAAATCTGGATATTAACAATAGAATGTTCTTTCAAATTAAGTGACCACTATTTAATTATTAGTATTTAAGTATTCATCGTACTTATTAATATTTGCTAAGGCTTCATTGGGTAAATCTATGTTCTTAATATTTTCTTACTTACTGCAACCATCTTTAACTTTTTTCTCAAAGATCAGGTGGTGAAATATTTTTTTAACTTACCAAAAGCCCTGGCGTTATCGTCTGATTCAGTGAGACCATCTGAACCATATCCCCGCTACCCCTGGCGGTAGGCGGCTGAGAAGGGGGTGGAGACCGCCAAGCAGGTGGCGATTGAGACTATAAACAAAATAAAAAAAAACATTTGTAGTTTAAACAAATATATAGATGTCACCATGAAGAAATGTCGTACGTTTTTTTTACTTGACTCCTAATATGCCCAATTTGAATCACGATAATCGATTAGATATTATATAAAACTTACATCTTGGTATCTCAGTCCGTGATCGTAATATGTGATGAAGGAATTAAACCCACACTCTTGCAGCACTGACGAGTTAAACATCACGGGTAGATCGCAACATTTCTTATCAAAATACTGTAAAATAAAAAATAAAATTAGACAATGTTATGCAGGAATGTTAAAGTTCTTGGACACAATTTAAAGTTATGATCGAAAGAGCCAGGATTGCTGATGGATTGACTTGATTGGGTCCGAACCAGCAGATGTGACATCTGATGGTAGATGACTTGATCCCATGGATTTTTGCAACTCAAGAGTCACGAGTGCACTGTCTTCCTTTGAGATGGGAGTACGCTCTATTGCTATTTTTTTTTTGGAGTAACTACTTTATCTCAATCTACATACAGCCGTCTGATTCCAAAGTATGCAGAACCCGCATGTTAATATCCAGACTGATAACCTTACTTACATATTACCAAACATACATACTCTTATAAGTTACAGAGTAGACATAATAATAATAAAAAAATTACACATCTGACACACGGCCGTCTAATACCAAACTAGGCAGAGCCTGTACTATGGTAACCAGACTGCTGATAAACATCTTATTTATAAAATTCTCGTGTCACAATGTTAGTTACCAACTCCTCCGAAACGGCTGGACCGATTTTTATGAAATTTTGTGTGCACATCGGGTAGGTCTGAGAATCAGAAAGCATTTATTTTTCATGATAAGGGTGACCCGACCCACCCCTATTTTTTTTCAATATTTCCTAGAAATAATGTATATGGCAAAACAACGTTTGCCGGGTCAGCTAATACTTAAATATTTCTAAATGAACGTATTATAGATAAAGTACACCCAGACACAGAACAAATTACCATGCTCATCACACAATTACTTGTCCTGACCTCTGGCGTAGCATTCAGGGTCACCAACCACTAGACCAACATGCCAGTCGAGACACAATATAAAAAACATAAACATAAAAAGTTTATTCTTTGTAACTAAAAGTAACAAATTGCACAGTAGAATATGGTTGATAATGACTGCTATAGTTCATAACTGTGTTGCAGCCATTAACGCCCACCTCCGGAAGATAAGTTACAGGTTTCAAGTTTCATCATGCTTGCTGAATATAAACCAAATCAAAGTTATAAATTAATTTAACAATGTTATAAGAAGTGTGGGTCAGAATACGTAGAATTGTTAGTGTGTGTGTGTGTTTGTGCGCGCGCGTGTGTGTGTGTGTATGTGTGTGTGTGTATATGTGAGTGTTATGTGTGTGCATATGTGTGTGTGTGTGTGTTCGTCTGTGCATGTGTGTGGTGTTTGAAAGAGCATATGTATGTGTACATGTGTGTGTCTTTAGGCCGGTGTTTCCAAAACTCATCAATTTAAGATTGCTCGAATTTCTCATTGAGGTCGTGTCAGGAGACGTTCGGTATCATCATAATTTAGGGCAAGCAACCACTGGGTTACTTTATGTTTACATTCACGAAATATACAAGGGTAGATACGCAACACCTTATTAACCTTGTTATATAATACGGGAGCCAAATAATAATAGTGCCTTTTCGACAGCTCCAGTCTACAGAATTCCACATCACATACTTTGTCATTCCTTCTTTTATTAGGATTCAACTTATATTGTAACTCCCTGTGTTTGCGTAAGATCATATTTAATAAGTACAATTTTCTTACCGTAAGTATATTCAATTCACTATATAACTCGACGGTAGAATAGCGAATAGGTTTAAATGTCATAACCTTTAGTACTCCTCTCTGAGCTCTTTCCAGAGCAAGGAGCTTATTTTTACCCGTACCACCCCAGGCACTTATACAATACGATAGAACAGACTGAGCAAGAGCGTAATATACCATTTTTAACGTATGGAGGTCAAGGGTTGTTCTTAGATTTTTAAAGACAAACATCAGCTTTCTAATTCTGATGGTAGTAATTTTTAAGTGCTCTTTCCAGGAAAGGTGGCTGTCGATCCATACTCCGAGGTACCTTACTTTGGTTACATTAGTAATCTGCAGGCAAGAACAACTTGAATTTCGGGCACATAACTCACTATGAGCCATCAAAATTACAGAAGTAGGCAATGAGGTACACTTTGGCGCGAAAGTAACGAAGTTGGTCTTCTCCACATTTAAGGTTAAGAGATTTTTGGATAGCCAGGTGGTAATAGTACACATAGCTGCTTGAGCGTACCGAGTTGTTTCTGACCAGGTATCACCGTGTACCAGGAGAACAGTGTCGTCAGCGTAAGTAATAATCTTGCAGTTTGTTAGCACAAGTTTACACAAATCGTTCAGATATATTAAAAACAGGGTTGGGCCAAGGATGCTACCCTGAGGCACACCGAACACCACTGGTTCCAGCTCACTCACGAAACCATCTATATTGACACACTGATGTCTGTTCTCAAGGTAACTACGGAAAATGTCATGTACCACCCCCCGAACACCAATCCTCTCCAGCTTCCCGAGCATAATCGGCACAGAGACAGGGTCAAAGGCTTTGGAGAGGTCTAAGAATATAGCTAGTGATTTGGACTTTGAGTTAAAGTGTCTAACAACTGAGTTAGTTAACTCCAATACAGCATCTTCAGTTGACTTACCACTACGGAAACCAAACTGATTTTCAGCCAAAATATTATTTTCGTTTAGATAACTTTTTAACCTGTTGTTTAATAACTTCTCCATAATCTTTGATAGGGTGGTAAGAACTGAAATGGGCCTATAGTTATTAACACTGCCTCTGTCACCGCTTTTATGCACGGGATGTACAAGACCTATCTTAAACACATCCGGGAAAACACCAGATGCAAGGCAGAGATTGAACACATGTACAATTGTTGGGGTAAGTGCAAACCTGGTGTCTTTTATAATTGCGGTAGAGATACCATCCCAACCAGTAGCTGACGTGTTTTTGAGACTTAAAATAAGGTGATCAATTTCTGACTCGTCGGTCTGGTAAAGGGCCATTGAGGATCGAAGAGAAAACAGACCGTTGTCGTTTATCTTAGGGGTATTGTCATACGCGGTATTCCTAGAGATAATTTTTGATGCAAGGGTTTTTCCAATATTTACAAAATACTTATTTACCGAATTTGCAGTGAAAGTAGGATCTACTGAAGGCACTAAAAGGTCATTGGATGAAGATCTAGATTTGTTAATATTGCCCAACTTTTTTACAAATTTCCAAGTGTCTTTCGGGTTCTTATTGAGGCTACCAAATTCATTCTGTTCATACTGTTTCTTTACGGCTTTTAACAAACGATTACAAAAAAACTTGTATCTATTAAAAGTCGTTTTTGAAATTAAGTTTTCTGGGTCTTTTTTTAGATTAATATAGAGTTTGTCTCGGTTTCGTATACAACGTAAGAGACCCGGGGTAATCCATGGCTTTAATATTTTATTTTTATTGGTGATCACAAGGGGATGGGTGTTTTTTTTAATTACTGCAGAGATTGAGTCCACAAGTAGTTCAGCGGCACTATTTCCATCATCACAGGATAGAATTTGACCGAAGTCCATCCCATTGATCTCTGTCACGCAAGCCGAATGATTTACGCGTTTAGCTAGACGCTCCTTTCTGTAACTATTTATTTTAAGATTACAGTTTAAGATAATAGGCGCGTGGTCAGTAATATAAGTATCTAGTACCATAGTAGTGGCATTATTCATGGTTTTTAAGAAAATATGATCAAGACAACTATTTTTACGAGTTGGCAGGGTATGAGCGGCCATTAGGCCGTGGGACATAATAGTATTTAAATATTGGTCACAGTTATGATCAAAGTTGTCGGGCGCAATGTTAATATTTATATCCCCGATAACCGCAACATTTTGGTAATTGTTTATATAATTTAAAGTGTTATTCAAAAACTCCAGAAATCTATCAGTATATCTGTATGAAGGCGAACGGTAAAGCGCAACCAGAGCAAATATATTATTGTATTTAATTATCAAACAGTTTGCCTCAGAAAAAATCGGTGACTCCACGGTACATTTGAGTTCGTCTCTAACGTAAACAACAACTCCGTCATTTTGATTTTGGTGATGCGACGCATGGGAAATATAGCCGCCTAAGCTAGGTAGATTAGGGCATTTGCCCAACCAGCACTCTGACAAAACGATTATATCAAATTTAGTTGGTATCCTTTGTAGTAGGGTTAATAATTGGTCGAAGTTGCAACTAATGCTTCGAATATTGAGATGGATTATTTTAATTGAAGTATTTGCGTCATTTATGTATAAAATACTCTGCTCAGGTGAGCAAATAAGGGATTTTGAAACTTCTATTTGTTCAAGTTCATTTAATAAATAACTATTTTCCATTCAAAGCGTGATATTAACAGTGACATAACATACCTTATTTGTGTGGCGGCAAGCTCCAACAAGCAAGCCACAGCTGTAAACAATAATAAGGGAGCGTAGACGTAGACACCTCATTTGCTTTAAATATGAATTGGAAAAAATAATAATTTGTAGATCAGACACATTTATGTCCCGAATGGGAACCGAACCCACAATATTAGCACGGCATAATAGTGAATGGGTCTTTATCACTTCACCAAACGTATCGTGATACAAGAGTACTAGTAAACCCAGTATCAGAAACAGTTTTCTATACATATTATTATAAAAAACAGCTGCCCGCAATGTGTGAAAGTAGTTGAATGTGTTGTGTGTAGTAGTTGTTTCGTGAGTAATGTAGTAATGTTTATGTAGGAGTGTGTCATGTAGTGTAGACAAATTATATGATCCTATAACTAACAATATATAAAAAAATATAGAACAGACCCACAGGGTTTTCCGACTAAGCCGTTCACGTACAATATGAGCTAGTACATAATGGCTAACAATATGGTAAGATTCGTAGACAGTAATAGATAATATACAAAATGTGACATTGCAATAGATCAGTAATACCACCCAGTCCAGTCATTTAGGAACCTTCAAATTAGATAAATCAGTTTCCGTTTTTATTAAAAAGGATGGGGCACCTTCCGTCTTCCTCAAGTATATTTTACCATGTGAAACCCAACAGTACTTATATTCATGCACCTTAGCAAAATCTCGACATAAAAAGAACAATCGTTTCATTACCGGGGTTAGATTTTCTGAAATAAATATAGGTTTACATGTTCCACTTATTTTAAGGTGTTCCGTAGTTAATCTTGTGTTTTTAGTAAATTGTTTATACATATGAATAAACCTTTCTTTCTTTATGACGCTAGTGAAATCTACGATGATGGGTTTTTGGTCAGGTTCTTTGGTCTGTATACGGAAGATGTCTCTGACTTCATATGATTCAATGGGGATGTTTAAGGTTCTACCGGTCGCAATTATGGTATGTAGTAGCTGCTCTTTAGATTCCTTTTTATTTGGGGGAATGTTTCGGATCTCCACACAACTAGATCGAGCATTGCGTTCTGCTTTTTCTAATCTATTCTCAAGGGTACGGATATAGTTGAGGTTTTCTTGTCGTTCTGATTTTAAATGATTTATCTGCTCCAGCAAAGCGTCGTATGACTTCGATACATACTCAACAGAAGCACAAATATCGCTGTTTTGCTTTTTGATATCAGTAACAGAAGCCAATATCGCAGCAACTTTTAGTTCCTGTTCATTTTTAAAATCATGGAACATTTTCGTCATCTCAGACATAAATACGGACAAGTTTACATCGCCACTGTCCTCCGAGCGCTTACGTTTTGCGCGGACGGTTACGTTTAGGTTTTCCAATTCACACTGCATGTCATTTAAGTTTAAGTTTGGTTCCGAGTCGCTACGCTGGCGCTGGACCGTGCGCGTAGGCAATGTAATTTGTTGTTTTGGCGGTGTGCGATCGACTGGCATATTACACGTATGTATGTAGGTATTCACTGACAATTTGCAATATAATAAACTTATGAATCGTAGTTACACCGATCAGGTGAAAGGAGCTCAACATAAGCTGGACGGTCGCGACAGTTTCATATAAATATGCTTTCCGTCAATCGTAGCTTGATCTGTGTCCACTCAGTATGTCTATCTCTTTTTGTAGTACATGCGTTGTGAGGGATGGGGCTATGCATTCAATGTGTACTCACGCGTCAAAGCAGCAATGGAGCTTTGCAAAAATAGATCACTTCAACACTTATTTATGGTAGATTTTGTATTGACGTCTATTAAAGATTTATCGTATTTTATTTAAAAATTCAACAGAGAAGCACTTTTAACACGTCTGATCGCCTCAGATATCCAGAGGGGAGGGGGATATATATTAATATTATATTATTATTATTATTATATGAATAATTCTTCGTCCTCTGTTTGGTGGGTATCGAATCCACGACCACTGTTTCAGCAATCAGGATCCATTGGACAGCTTTGGTATTTTTGACAAATGTAGGTGTAATTCCGTGATTAGTCTACTTCTTGTCTGTTAGCATAAATAAAATAAATTGAAACTTACATGTTCCAGGAACCATTTCGGTCTATGTTCTTTTTCCAAGTTCTGCTGTAAATTTTCGTAACGACTGGAAAAGATACAGAAAAGCTTATTAAATAACTTATAACTTGACTAATATCATTCAAGGGTTTATTTAGATAATCACGGTAACAAGATTAATGTTTTATTTAAACATTTTATAATTTAAAATTAATTTTAAGGTTTATACTGTTCGCAACATAGGGGACACTGTTGTTATTACAAATGTTGGTAAGTACCTGTAAAAGTTTCAGTACTATTATCATTAAATAAAAAAAAACACAAATTAATTGCGCAACAAATATATTCTGAAAAAAAAAAGATCAAAAGCTTATTGATGTTTTCTTTATATTTTTTTTTTCAAAAAGGTTTATCTATCTACTAAACTACTGATTTACTGTAATTTTTATGTATTTTCTAGATATAAATACCATGCTCTTCCACCGTTTACACCATTGCAGTATGCAAGCAATGTATGTAGGTACACAAGAAGCAGATGTTAATGTGGTCCAAGCCGCTCATAGCCCGTGATCTTGACAGGGTACCGGAGCACCCTGCACGGCCTACAATTTCGTGGGTCAATAATGTTTGAAAAGAACAATTCTTACCTGACTGTGAACATTTGCTTGAAACCAGCCAGTGATGACACTGGAGAGCAACCATCATCTTTTCTCCAGTTCTCCTCGGGGCAGTTCTGCAAAGAAATAAATTAAATCAAACTGCCTATAGACGGTGTTCAATTACCGAGTGGTTGATGTGCTTAAGACGGGAGGAGAATTAGCCCCGCCATAGAGAATATTTCTGGCGACAATATTTTCAGTGCGGTCGTCGTTTGGTAGTTGGCATTACCCATGGTATCTATTTCAAATTGCCCTGACTGTCTGTCTCCAAGTCTTCAAATGGCAATGGATATTGCGATGGTATTTCAAGTTTTATATTTTTTGCAGTAGTTTTGTTGGTGACCTTACGCATAGCTTGATACGGCTTAGATAAAAAGGTAAAAAAAAGACAGACACTTACTTATTTTTAATGTTCGTAGTTTTAATGTTTTTTAAGTTATTTTTTCTAAAAGTTCTTATGAAGATGTTCTTTGTTAAAATGATTAAAAATATATATTAACATACTTACATTGATCATTTGATCTACAACGCAGTGTAATAGTGCTTGCCCAGAACATGTGCTCACATATCGCCTGCCGCTATTCGTGTAGCAGTTATCCAGGACCTTCTCCAATACATCGTGCCAAGAGCCTTGAGGAAGAACACGTGTAAAAGCCTCTCTTGCCAAGTCTTGTGGAGTCAAAGACTCCGGTAAGCCAAGTTTTATATTGATGCAGCTCCATGAGTGACACTAGAGAAGATAGGTACATAATTGACATAATGCGCCATATAGTATTTAATTGTAAAATCTTTATTAAATGCAGTAGAGCTAAGGCGTAGAACTTACGAGCTAGAATTGTAAAGCATTTAAACTAGATAGATGGAATGATTAACAATTACTCAAATCTGATTGATAATTTCATATACTTGCAGATAGTTTATATTTAACCTTAGAGAGAACACAAAATCTCTGCCAGTGCAACCTTGTTGTAATCGCAAAAGATCTGCTCAGCGAGTGGAATGATTACTACATAAATTACTTGTACATAAAAAATAATATTATGATGTAATAATAATAATATTCCAAGCATCTATAGGTAATAGTAATTATAGTATGGTACACGCTTACAGGCGGCAGACGACAGATGGCAGACGACTAGCATAAAACTACGTTCTCCAACTACAGCTTTTTCGAACATTGAAAAGGCTTGGCAGTGTCCCATTGTGATACGGCCATTTTTTATGTGGCAAACAACTTCATTGTATGTTATAACATACGTACATGGTTGTAACTTAATCTAATTTAAGTATTAGTTATAAAACTTACCAATCGCGAGCTTCTTGAATAAAAAGATTCGAACCGAGGTTTTCCATAAACCTGTAATGTATATATTTATATTATATGCGTTTATATGTCATGGTTATATCAACAATAAGATAACTTAGTTATTTTCGTCAATATCCAGCTCGAAGTCAATTTTTATCAATGTTATTAAAACTAAGATTGTTTTTTATTAAATTTCCTACTAATGCACACAGCATTTTATACATTGTTGATGAAACGACTGGAAAGTTCTGCAATAAGAACTTCTTTGGTACCAACTCTTGTGGGGACTGTATCTAAAGGCACACACACAACTAAAGTCCAAAAAAAATACTTATAGAATTAAACAAAAATAACTTTCAACTGGAGGCAAATTTCATAAACAATTGTCTTATGTGAGAAGGGAACCACGAGTCCCCAAGTGACCTCTTACACATTTTCGGGTCACATTATTTTGACATACTTCTGATTATTGGGACAACGTCTTAAGCTAGCTTTTATAATGTTAAAAAAATTATAACTTATCCTTATTGAAATGACTTTAACTCTGTGCAATAAGTTTTTAACAATTAACAGTGAAAAATAGGTAAACTGTTACATTTGACAACACGTTAAAGGAACCAACCGCTAACCAACCAAAACATGTAGTACCTACTTACTTTTAATTTTGCTTTGCTCCCCTTTTAGAACAGTCTTTTTCAAAACTAATGTTCTCTAATTTCTTAAAACTACACTTAATAAAATATCAATATAGGCACTATAAAAAAGAATAGTACATAGGAGTTTAAACCGAACGGAAATATTTCCATATTCTTATTGAAATCTGTTTTACGTATTTGATATTACCTACGTATCTACTTTGAATTGTTTATAAAACACTTACCACTTGCAAAACGAAAAATAACCACAATAACTTCATATTCGTAGGAAGATTCAAGAACAAGTAACCATATTTAGATAAACTGGCCACGCATATCTGGGGTCAACACGACTGATAATGTTATTTTGCGTTGTGTCAACTGTGATTATAGTTACTGGTAAACTAAGAAATGTGTCATTGGTCTGTTTATAGACAAGTAGTCATCACTTCTAGATTCAAGGGTACCTATATTAGACCAAACTTCTCATATAGGTATGCGCTAACCAAAGAGTAAGCAATAATTTGAGATCTTAATTAATGAAATTTTTCCTTTATCAACGACTAGCCTCTCAAAAGGAATAAGTTTTGGCCGTTTTCACAACATTTTTTATTGCTGCTCGGCTCTTATCGGTCACCTATAGCCTTCCTCGATACATGGGCTATTAGTCTATCCAACACTAAAAGACTTTTTTTATTCGAACCAGTAGTTCCCGAGATTAGTGCGTTAAACCAAACAAACTCTTCAGTTTTATATTATTACGCTGTCTGTTTGTTCACAATACCTGAGGCTCTAATTAAGGTAGGTATAGTTATTATCTTCATCATGGCAGAGACGTTGCAGAACCTACAGCAGATGCTGAATGACCTAGCTAACTCTTCTGTACGCATCGGCCTACGGATGAACTTGGATAAAACCAAGGTCATGTTCAACGAACATGTACTACCGGAACCGGTTGCGGTACACAGTGCCGCTCTGGAAGTTGTTCAAAGTCACTCAACATGTTATGGAAAGGGCTATGCTCGGCGTTTCTCTAAGGAATTGCATCAGGAATGAGGTGATGCGGCAGAGAACCAATGTCACCGACATAGCCTACCGGATCAGCAAGCTGAAGTGGAAGTGGGCTCGCCATATTAGCCTTAGAACCGACAACCGTTGGGGAAAACGAGTTCTTAAGTGGAGAGCGCGTCTCGGCAAACGTAGTGTAGGACGCCCACAGGCCAGGTAGAGTGACGATTTGCGCAAGATGCGCCGACGTGAGTTCCAGATGTGCAAAGTCATGAGCCTTCACTGTTGGACCTTCTGCTGACCTCCGATCCAGACGGTTACAAATCATTGTCAAATCCGGAGGACGGTGCCACTCCCGTGCTTGCGACGCAACACGCCCTCTACGGGACGTTGTGAGGACCTTTGAACAACCGTTCGCAACGGCCCACCAGACATGATCACCTAGATCACCCTTTATTTTGGAGGGGCTTGCTGCCACCCGATCTGCCACATCGTTTTGTGTTAGGTAAGTTTTCCGTTAATACCGTTTTCTAAGTATTAAAAAAGCCATAAATTGAACGTAAATAACATTTTATTTATGTATTTTGTTTTTTTGAAGCTGATTGAGATTTAATTGTAGAAGTTTTCTAATAAAACTAAATGGATTATTAAGTAAATAAAAGTCATAATTATATGTAACATAATTTATTGGAGGATTCCATAAATTGAAAAAAAGTGTTTACATATAAATCATCTACTTACAAAAAAATAAGCAGAAAGCGGCAACACAGATAACTGAATATATCACCGAGACGTCACCAAGTGGCCAAACTTGTTTACAACATGTTGGTTTTCATTACTTAGTTACAATGAAATGCGATTTTTTTTTTGGTTCTTGATAAGTGACTTATAAATAATAAGCGAAGTTTAATATGCTATACCAAGCAGGACAATACATTAATAATAAAAAAAAACTGCCCGCCAAAAAATCCATTACTCGCCATAGAGCCGCCATATTGTTTTTTTATTTTGTAGCAAATGACACTCGGAATGATAAACTATTCTCTACACAATCTTATTTCATTAAAGAAACTTGCATACATACATACAAGAAAGCATTTCATTCATTTTAAGGCAAAGTAAAAGGCAATTTATATCCCTTATAAAATATAAGCAAAAACGGATCCTGTAGTTTGTCAGCTATACAAATAAAAATGTCACTTAGTTTTTTTTTAAACCTATGTAGCTAAAGTAACCCACTTCATACATATCTATTCAATTCAGAAATTTAAGTACTAAAATATATTTTCTGATCTTTAGAATTATGTTAACAAAAACGAATTGAATACCAAAAAATGCAAGGAAAAATGTTCACCAATAAGACATCAATAAATTGAAGAATTTCTGGTCTACAATGAGTTCTAAATACCAGATAAAGAGCGACATTTGGTAGTAATAAAAAGTATATTATACAATTATTATTATTATTCTGTATAAACATAATATACAGTAACTAGATCACGTAATACGTATTATATTTCGATAGCCTGCTGTTATGGGCCTCATTCTGCTATTTTATGTAAACGTACAAGCCACTGTCATTCTATTGACACGCTATTGAGATGCCATTGACATCGGTCAAAAGATCAGTATTCTACTAACATAAATTCACTGTCAATATATCTGACTATCGATGTAGTGACAATAGCTCATCAATGGTGAAACATATGCCATATCTGGCAAATTTAATATATCACTTCCTTCCAAATTTAAAATGTACCGTTTATCAAAATACTACAAAAGACATCGGCGACATTTGTAACAGTAACAAGTCATCCATTGGTCTTACATAGTTAGTAGAATACGAAAAGTGCTAAACTATTCCGACGACATTCTATTGATACAATATTAAAATAGCAGAATTGAGGCTCGGGTTGCACTGGCCATGGTCACAAGTTATCAGTGAACTCAATAGTTTAAATAAATAAACGTTTATTGCTATCTCACTCAAAAGTAGTATGGAGAAAAATATACATTCTTCAATACCTTACTAAACTTTTTTAATACTAGGCCTTTAATGTACTCGTAAACTGACTAAACCAATGACAAAGTCACAATTTTTTTACGGAATACAGAGCAAACGAGATGATGCGTCCCCTGTCCTTTAGAGATATTGGGTTAGGTTTAGAGCGACCTCACTAACTCGGGCGAAAGCAAAAAAATTGCAAATGCATGATTCTCCCACATTTATTCAAAGTAAATCATTATGTCCAAATGGTATCAAATACAATATATATATATTTATCTGTATTGCCGTTTAAAGTATTGTTCTAGGCGCAAACTAACCAATCGTAAAGCTAACAAGATTCTTAAATTGTCATCAATACTAAAGAGGTGTTGGGACAGGCGTAAATTCAGAACATTACAGACTGTAAAATATTCCACAGTATAATACATTATGCATATATGTATACGAACAAGGCATATTTATTTAAATATAACAATTTTTTATAGTGTATTTACTATATTTCAACGAGATAATTTATTAATTTATTCTCCTAAGGCCACAGGTTCTAGAAAATAGCAACAAGAAAAACCGAAATGGTTTCCTTTAAAACAAAATGGCAATCATTGTTACGACAGGACAACCTCAAAATTACGTTCTACGAGTGGAACAAGTTTACCTTCGTAATTTAGTATTATTGGAAACAAACATGTCGATTTCTCTCTCAGAAGAGTTCGTTGGTTCGATTTCTACCCAGGACAATTAATTATTATGTGTATCTGGGTGATCTATAATATGGATTAAGATATTTCCATGACCCAATATATATATTTCTTTTCTTCTATATGAGGGACATTCTTTCATAAGGACTTTCATTACCCCATAGGAACCAGGAATTAAAGATGAACGCCATTTTGTTGTTTACGAATGCACCTAGGACTTAGGAGGATATTTAAAGGCAGAGGCATCAATTTAAAAAAGGAACTGGCAACTCTATGTCAATTAAATATATTCAACCGACAGCTCTGAATTCTCGCCCGCGAGTTGATAGAACAGTTTTAAGTTATTAGACATCACAGATGCATTACCAAATTTACATAAAAATCGTTGCAACTAACACAAAAATGTCCGAATTGTGTGCATTCACGAACTGAATCACGGTTTTAGTCAAAATTGTACCTGCAAAAGAAATTATAATTTAATAGAATAAATTCAATTCAATTCAATATTCAACATTATCAATACTGAATACTTTATTGCTTTTAGAATAAAAATGTACAGTTGGTAAAACAAACTAAGTATCAATTATATAAATATTAAAGGGTCCCCCTTGACAGTCTGTTTGACGGTTTTATGGCCGGTCGAAAGCTTCCTACCAACCTTTCTTTTGAATGTCTTCATACTGGACAAAGGAAAAGGATACATTGGGATAAAAACGAAGAAGACATAGGAGTTAGAGGAGTAAGAGAGTACCACAAGACTTGGATGGTTATGAGGACTGAGATTGCGGTAAGAGGCAGGACACTAGTATTGCGAATAGTATGACTGACGAGGAACATGTCAAAATCAGAGGTAAAAAGCTCATTAGGCGAGCCATGTGCCCTCCTGATATGCTGCACACCTTAAGCTAATTAGTTGATGTGGAATTATTACATACATATAGCAACACCACTCATAAAAATGTGTATTCTCATTTAACATAGATATAGAGTGTGTAATATACAAAGAGATATAAGCATAGAGAGTACACGGGGTACAGCTGTCTGTAAGTGGAAGCGATACAGGCAACAAGAGAGATAGATGATGATGGAAGAGTTTCCTCTGTCTATGTATAGCTATGCTGCGATTGGCTACTTATTAACCCCTCATATTCCCCAGCCAACCACAGAGCTGGACTAGAAAGAGATAAAGGCGTCCTATCTAGTATCCATCTCTCTGGTTGCCTATATTGCAGGATTGGAGCTCTTGTTCAGTGTAGGCTAATATTCTATGGTAGTATACCTAAGGTGTGTTGCGATCAGAGGAAGGCGCCGAAGCCAAAGGCGCGCTTGATGCTGTCGAAGTAGTAGCGGCGCCAGTTGTCGCGCGTCTGCTCCAGCTCCGGCGCCGGCACCAGCTCCTGCCGCACCGTCACCAGCGTGTGGTCCTCCTGCAACAACCATACCATCGTTTACCACTATCTTTAACCATCATTGCATAGATTTTACTTGCTATGACGGGTCAACATGTCTAACTTTTTCTAGGCGTTTTCTACGCAACCTTTTCGCTTTGTTTTAAACTCATAACAAACAACCCAGTTTTTATCATTTTTTTTTCTAAATTTTATGTTTCATTCTTACAGAAAACGATAATTAATGATACACTTGTATCACTTCTTATTGCTATACCTTGTAAATCACTCTATCACAATCCGATTAGTACTTTTCGAGTAAATTGAGGATTACTGTGTGAAGAAACCTGTCTAAATAGAAAGACAGACAGGTAGGGGACTCCATACAATAGGTAATATTAATTAACTTTTTATTTCCTCTTCCACTTCGAGTATTTCAAAATCTTACCAGCACTGAGTTTACGAAATTACCTTACAAATGCGTACACTTCACTTTACTTTCCTATTTCGAGTTTCACACGCAGCGATCAATCATAGTATTAATGATCAATATTTGTTGTACCTTAACAAAAACAACGGATTATAACTAACCTTTTCTTCAATATTGAAGGTAACTTCAGAATAATGCTGCTCAGGCCATTGTTTGTATCTCCAATATTGGACTATCTTGTTGGGAGGCGACAGTTCTCTGAACTCCCCAGTTATGTTGCCACCAAACAGTGCAAATTTGCCACCTTTTTCCACTTCCATTTTGACATGACCCTGGAATGTTCACATGTTGATATATTCTACTAGGGTCTACATATTTTTTACTTTCTGTACCATTTATTAAAAATAGATTTAAAATAAGGAAGTATGATAGCAAAGCTAATGGTATTAATTCTGTTCTGTCACTAAACTAAAAATTTGTTTGGTCCTGTCAAACAAAGTTTCGTATTCTGATAATGCAGTACTTGACAGGACTAAACAAATTTTTAGTTTAGAGAGTTTTCGAACAACTGCATTAACACCATTGTGTGTAAACTTAGTTAAAATATATCTTATTGTAATCTAACAACAGTTATTTTCAAATGTAAGTAGTTTACTTGAATGACAGTGTGTATGTCTTAAAATCATACTATATTGAATATTGTCAGGCTAAGTCAGGTTATGAATAGAAAAAAAGCATACTGTGTATGTTAGTTCAAAGCGTTTCAACTTATTGATGCTATATTTTATACGTGTATACTTTTACAAGGATATATATAAATAAAATACATGTACAAATCTATATTATTTATTAATTTCTTTCACAATTCATACAGCGCTGATACTACTACAATCTACGTATTTTTACAATAAATACCCTTTATCAACTAAACACATTTAGGTATCATCAAATATTTTTTTTAAAACACTAAGGAAATAGGAACTATACAAATATTAACATTTGTTTTACAATAATTTAATTATTAATAATTCTCTTGCGGCTTTGCCTTAACATTTATCACTTTAAGATAGATTATAATTTCAAATTCATGATAATACCTATGATTAACTAATATTCATTTTATGCAAGCTTGCATTGTATTAAAGCAAGTTGAAACGCTAATTAAATTATCTAATAAGATATACTACACCACCGTTAAGAATCAAACCGATACACATTAGTATACTGCTGTCAGTTAGTAATTTAATATGAGTTCAAAAGCTTCTCTCATACATACCTGTGTGAATGCAGTAACCATTTCTATCCGAGTCAATGCATCATAAAACTCCCGCGCCCGACATTGGAACTTCTCTGAGATTTCAATTGATTTTGTTTCTATTTTGCATCCAACTTGCTTTTTCGGTGGCGCTATAATTGGCTCCATGCTAACCTTCTTGTTGAAACCGCTCGTAATCATTGAAACATTATCCGGTTTGACAGTAGCTTCGCCCTTTTTAGGTAAAATGAGGCCTTTGGAGAACTCTTCTTTTAGACTACGGATGTATTCGCTTAACTGTTTTCGGATTTCATCGCGACCAACATTGTGCATGAATGCCTTCACCCTTTGGGCTTCATCACCACTGCCTTGTATTGTGACTGAGATCTGAAATTTAAAGAAAATATTGCATGAGGCATATGCTTCAACTGTGTTGTCCATTCTGTTTTATGTAATGGTTTGCAGACTGCACCCATTGTACTGTTTCTTAACATAATTCTAATTATTCCATTTATCAAGTTCCAGTGGGAAGATTTTCAAAAAAATAGGTTGGTTGACCTTCCTAAGACTTGCAATTATGTCAAAGTTCTTAAAGATATTTAAGAGAATCATGTAGGGGATTGGCTCATTGCTTAATTTGGGTTGGTTAGGGAGGTGTCTCTTCTGCTACATTAGACTATAGTTATCAGAAAACATGGTGTTATGCCATAAGGTGAATAGGGTTGAAAGATCTCCATGGGCAAAAAGAACACTATTGCAAGTTTTCATAGGCATATCTTGTGAGCAACTTGCTTACAGATATAGACTACACATAAAAAATGAAATAGAATCATGATGAGATGGTTGCAAGCCATATTTTAGATTCTATTTTGAAAGGGCACACTTATTACATCGAAAATAGTGCCTAATTGAAATTGTACTATATCCAGCCTATAATATTCTCTTCTTAAACTGCATCATCAGTACAATTTCAAACAGATATGATTGACAAAGAAAACTTAATGTTGGCACTACACACGTAAAACCCATCTACATAGTTATAAATGAAAGTGTAGCAAAAGTAGATAATAACTTATTTTAACATAAACAAGAAATGTTTCAACTACAGTAATACACACTAACTCCATAAAATACTCATAGTTTTAAGTACAAAGTTGCATTGCACATTCCAAACTCTCTAATCAGCTGACCTCAAACTGATATGTGGTTTTACTATCAATCTGCCCACACATTTATTTGTCAATTTATCATTGATATTGGTGCTAATTCTGTTAGTCTAAACTAAATATAACTAAACTAATAATCACACAACTAAACTAAACAAAAAAATAGTTTAGTACTGTCAAATACTACGTTTTCAGAATAGGAAACGTTCTTTGACAGGACTACACTAATTTTTAGTGATGTTAGTTTAGAGAGTTTTGGAATAACAGAATTAGCACCATTTGAAAAGTCAATATATTTAGGAGTTAGTCTAATGTGTATTCTTTTTGGTAGTAAGTAGCTAATCTTCAACAAGAGACACAAAAGTGTTGCTATACTTCAACCCCACATCGTGAACCATAGCATCAATAAGTTTTTGTATGTATTTGTATGTTGAATGTTATTTATTTATGATTCTTTGACAAACATGTACTGCATTTAAGTAATAATGTGACTGGATAAGCTTAATCGGTTATGTAACTGCATTTCCCACTTTTGTGTTCAATGCATGCAGTGGCAGGCTTTAATTAAAACTACACTATGAAATGTAAAAATATGGTAATCTTAACATGTATTTTAGTGTAAGCCTTGTTGGTTGTCCTCAATAAAATAAATAAATAGATTGACAAAATCAACATTAACACCAGTAAAGTATAGTTACTGCATACAATGTAAAAATAAGTTATTTATAATGTTTATTCTATTAATAAATAATAATGCTGTTGTATGTAGGGATGGAATAAAATCATAATCACATCTGATTAATCATATGATTTATAAATACAACTGAATTTCAAAACCAATGTCACATCACATCATCACATCAACAGCCTTTAATAGTCCACTGCTGGACATAAGCCTCTCCTTAGAAAGGAGGTTTTGGCCTACTATACCACGCTGGCCAGACGAGTTGGTATAGGGTTTGTGTCAAGTTTTCCTTCTCTCTGCAGGGCTGTTGTTCTGCGTAGTTTTCTCCCTTAGTCGGCTTTTACGACACCCACGGGATGAATAGGGGTGGTGACACTCTGTATTCTTAATCCGTCACCACACGGACAGTGTGAACAAAACCAATCTGACTTATTATTATTATACTAGCGCAAGACTCATGAAAGACCAAAATCTTAAACAAAAATGTGTGAGTGTGTAATGCACACACTTTAATATTTTTTTATTAGATCGCTCCTCCAGCAACCATTGAGCCGTACATCCCTCCCAGGTAGCAGCGGTCAGGCGAATCAGAGTAGGCCAATAAATATTGCATTTATAGATGTCTGTAGTATAGTCCTAATAATAGTATAATTATATTACTCCATACTGACACCACATTAGTAGTATCTACATAAATCGCTGTGACTAAAATCAATCATTTCATTAAATGAATATGACTTAAAAGTAGCAATAACTACCATGTCTTGTTGTAAGTATGCAAAAGTGGTACACCTATCTTTACCTAAGGTAAGGACAGTCATCTAAGGTAAAGACCGCTTAACTCTTAGGACGTCGCGGCGCGCGGTTGACCTATGACCCGTTACTGTCGCGCCCTTGAACTTGTGACCCAGACACAGCTGAACAAAGTCATTATTACCTCAATATCTACGATATTTTTTAATTATATTCAATGAAATAAACATATTTGGAATCCCTGATATATGTTCTTCTAAATGTTGTGACAGAGACGCTACCGCGTAAAAATTTGGTGTCACAACTGTTGTGACGGCAACGCATCGGAGGTTAATAAAAAATGCTGACTCATTACATGTTTTTTAGACTACAACTAGTTTACATAAATGGAGGCCAGATACTTCTAATAATAGTCACATCTGTGTTAAATTGAATCACATTAAAAAATTAAATTGACCAGAAATTAAATTAGGTTATAACAAAACAAGATGAATAAATGACATGGATTTGAATTGAGATCAAATGAATTAAGTGATATGCAATTAAACAACAGATTCTTAGATGGAAGGGACTTTGATTAGATGGATTCTATGGATAATGATCCTGAAATCAATAAGCAAGAAATACTAAACACTTGTTTAACTCATTTTAAACTTAAAGCTGAGGGAAATGGTGTAACATTAATTATGTTGTGATACTCTTTAGACATTGTAAAAGACTGAAAACTAAATAATTATAAATGATTCTAATAAGACTAAAGAAAAAAACTCACATTAGATGATATTTGATTACTATTAGAATACTAGTGTTAGATTACCAGCTACATTTTGAAGCTCAAATAGATGTGCAATGAACTGATGAATAAAGATTGCATTAGAAATTAGATGGATTAAATAAAATTAACTCAAATTTTACTCACATCTACTTCATTGACATCATTCTCCTCTGATAAATTCGGTATTTGCACTTCTCCCTTCACTGGCTCCTTGCCACCGGCCAGGATACCTTCCCACTTCAAATTGATGTCCCATTCATAGAAAAATATTAACTTTCCTTTCCTGTTATTAGCTGACGCTTCACCCTCAATCTTCTTCACTTCTAGTACCTTACAGTCCACACCATTCTTAGCTATTACAAAATTTGTTAGCAGTTCTTTTAGTCGTTCCTTTGACCATGGACCTGCGTTTTTCTCCGTCCAATGCCAGTTGTTAACATTTGTAGCGTCAGGTCGCTCCTCTACGATCCATCTGGGATCACCTTCACCCCATTTAGCCATTTCCTCTGTCTGTCGATACTCAGAAGGTAATACAAATTATAATTTTGTGAGTTGTACCAACGCAAATGTCGAGCAAAAATCGTGACAGTCGAGATTAATGACACGTTGTGCTCAGGGAAATATCTTCTAACTCTTCACTTAGTTTTAATACACAATTCGCTAGCAAATAAACCGCATGCGAGAGATCAAATGGCACTTAAAACTCAAAATTCGAGAAAAGTCGCGTAAGAATCGAAGCATGCCATTATGAAATGACAGTTGGAAAATGTGTTGCTATAAATTCATAAAATTTACCAACGTTGTAATTTTCTAATGTACCATACTCTTAAGTCAGAAGGTTGACACCAAAAAGTTGTTATGAGAAGCAAATAATAACTTAATAACCATTTGTTCCTACCACGATTCAAATAGTTACAAAATCTTGCACCAAGTTGTTTTTGTTTAATAGACACCCAAAACTTTTAGGAACAGGATAAGAAAATAGTTGATTTACAATTTTATGGAATGACAATTCTTTTTAGCTTCGGACATAACTACAACAAATTTTCTTGTGCGTGTGTATATACTTTTCTTCTGTTTTTACTGTTCAGTCGAAATCTTTTGTGTAATGTGTTTCGGCAACCAATAGTTACCTCAAATTATTGGTAATTTTTTAGCGATGGCAATATTTTTGACAGTTTCTCCATGATTCTAGAAAACGGAGGTACCAACAAAAAAGAAAAATCCGGATGTCACCATCATACATTCCGTTTTGTTCAAAGAATATTTTCCTTTTCTTTACATCGGTTACAAGAAATTACCTGTTATGGAACCATTTTATAATTATGTATAATAATAACCATTTTCGTTTCTGCCTACTTTTACTTCAGGTTTCACAGAGAGGAATACTCTCTGTGAAACCGATTGATGATGAGCAAAAGAGGTAGTTGGGTTTGTAAGTATTCACGTGTCTGTAATTCACGAGTGTCAATATGTAAAGAAATTGAAAACAACTATGTAATTAATAGATATTGATAGAAGGCCTTGAACGTTATACACGAAGAAAGGATAATTACTCATTTATTTTATCATCCCTTGAGAAAAATATTATTTTTTATCTATCACGTGTATGATTGGAAACACCAATCAGAAAATGTATCGTGCACATTTTGACAGGTGATTAACCAATCAGTTGTCTTACTTGTCTCGTCTTTATTTGGCGCGCAAAGAACAATTATAACCTGGTGTAGTTGTTATTTGAATTTATAGCAAACTTTTTGCCACAAATTCGGATTTATGGTTTTCTGTATACAGAATACCATAAATCCGTTAATATGTTATTACTTTATAAATCATTCTGCCTGCAGCACACTGAAGACTTCGGTGTTATGTCTCCCATAGCTTTGAGAGTAGTGGCGGATTTACCAGCAGGCTGCATAGGCTGGAGCCTAGGGCGGCAAATTTAAGGGGGCGGCAAATTCGGGCCAATTTTTTTCTTACAACAATAAATATAAATAAATTATTATATACAGGAAGAAAAGAAGTTTTGGAAATTTAACAAAAATAACAATATTTTACTGAATACTTCAACTTCATAAAATATACATTTGTGAACATGGATTTTTAAAAAATCCGATAGTGGTTCGAACATCATCGCATCACATCAACAGCCTTTAATAGTCCAGTGCTGGTCATAGGCCTCTCTTTGGAAAAGAGGTGTTGGCCTACTATATCATTTTGGCCAGATGGGTTGGTGTAGGGTTTGTTTCAAGTTTTCCTTCTCCTTGCAGTGCTGTTGTCCTGCGTAGTTAGTTCCGTTAGTCGGCTCTTACGACACCCACGGGTTGAATAGGTATTCAACTAGGTATAATAGTGGTTTAACATTACAATTTAAATTAGTTGACTAACTGTTTTACTAACCATCACTTAAGGCGGCCTGAGGCCCTGGAATACGTGCCTCCGCCACCCGGTTTGCCGGCGACGAATTAGGTCCGAGTGAAAATCTTCCTCCCAGGCCCTGTTCGCCGCCGCCGCCTCCTTCCGTGCGATGAAATCTTCACAGAAGGATGCGACAGCGATGAAACATCTGTTGCTATTGTCTATTATCTGTTGCTGAGAGATCCTCTGATGACTGTAATCAGGACCCGACGCTGCGACGCCCAAGCTGGGCAAATTGCCCAGGCGGTACTCAATTCACTCCTAGTGACCGGGACTTAGCGCACTTTACTCTGGGCGGTCAGAGCCATAGGACCATTGACCGAACAACGCCCGTGTACAGCCGTCTTGTTACGATGTTGGTTCCACCGAAATTGGACAAAAGTCGCCCATGGACAAACGCAACTTAAATGTGATTGTATGTTGGAGAATGTAGATTTGTGTGTGTATCGGATGTGACATTATGTAATTTAATAGAATTGAATATAAAAATAATAAACCCTTTAATTAATACCTTCTATGTGACAAACGTGCACATAATATATTTTACTTGACCATGGTCAATCGTGATGGTTTATAGATTATCCGCTATGTATTTGGTCTAAACACAAAGCAACATTAACATAGCATTAACTAGTTCATATTCAAACTACTGATTAGTTCCAAGGATCCTACGTCAGTCAAAATAATACGTTAGATGATAAGCTAAACCAGTTTGCAGGCATAAGTTGGCAGGCAAAGCTTCTTTCCAAAGTGTTTTGACAACAACTAGGTAATGTTAAGGATCATTTTTTTAAAATATTCGTCCACTACCACCACTATGTTCAAGTTTCCCATACTCGTACCATATAAATACACTTAATTTTTGTTTTAAAAAAAACAGTTGTTTTTTTGTCTCTCGAGTTAAATACTATGTAACACATTCAGTCGATAAACTGCAATAACTGCACTGTACTATACTGTAATAGTGTAGGTACTTTGCACAAGTTATCTAGTGAACAATATATATCTGTGGTTTTTGTGTAAGCCAAGGGCATAAATTTAGTTTTAGAGGCCAGTGGTGAAAAATTTTCACAAGAGGAAAGTCAACATATAATACGCCAAGAATCTCGCAGAGAACCAAAGCCTCTGCATCAAGACCTGCAAAATTCCATAGCTATACACTAGAGTAATCAACCGTTTATACCCTCCAGCAATGAAATAACTGTCTGTAAATTCATCCCCTGAACGAAGTAATAGCTTACCCTTTCCTACAATCACCAAACGGAAGCGTTACGTTGTTTACAGTAGCGATGATGTTGTTTCATCAAATCCTGTCCAGGAATCAAATACCAAGCAGCTTTCAAAATCCATTATTTCGTCAATCGAAAGCTAAACGCCACCGTTTACTGGGTAAACTATACATGGGTTACCAGAAAAAAAGAGGGAAAACTAGAATAGAGTATTTTTTAAAAAGCCAGATCTGTAAAAACTCGCTGTAACCATACAGCCATAGAACAAAAATCTAAAAATAGTTTTATGAGTGGTTTAGTATCAGAAGAAGAACGAGTTGCATTGCATGTCAAGTTTTGGAATATGAATTCGTGGGGTGCAAAAAAAGCCTTTGAACAAGGATTAGTATCTAAAAGAAATTTTCGTAAGCAAAGAAAGCGTGATAATTCTATAACTGCCAGGAAAAAAAAACTTTCATATTTCTGTGCCTAAGTTTTATTCCCAAAATACCAACTTAAAAGTGTGCAGATTGTTTGATCTCGGACGTGATTTTTTACGCTGAGTTAAAGATACGTCATCAATGGCAGATAGAAATCGTGCTAATAGGGTGCACCTAGAATATTTAATTAAAACGTTTAGTAGGCTAATTTAATACGATTTAGAGGATTCCTGACCGCAAACATTATACATACTTAACTAACTAATTATGTTCTGACTTTATTAATGCCATATAATTAAGTGCTAATGAGTACTCACCCATTATTTGGTCACAGACTAGAGGAACAATATTGTTACAATATTTAGACGAACCTAAATCTCCGTAGCATTAATATAGTACAGTGTAAAGATTTTTCTCTATTGTAATGTAATAACATGTAAATTATGTGCTACTTAAGTGCTACTAAAATATTCAAGTTATAATTTAGTTGCGCAATTCGTGTAAAAATAATAGAATCTGAGACTACAATGACTATTATGAAGTAACTATTAAACTCAATTTACAATTGTTAGATAATTAAGAGCAAAAAAAATTGCTTACTAATAATAGTATTTTTTTTCTTTTTGTTTTTTTTTTTTTAATCTCCCGCATTAGGAATATATCCTGTGTCGCGGGGGGCTTTACAAACATACATGAAATGGACACAAAGAACACCCAGACTCCGAACACCAATTTCTGAATCACACAAAGTATCGTCCGCAGTAGAAAACGACAAGACGACCGCTTAATATGCTGTGGGGATATTCGGTCCTTTAAGTGTCTACACTTAAAGGACCGAATATCCCCACAGCATTGATACTAGAAGGTGGCAATATTTGTCTCTTATTACTAGTACTTATTAATTAAGTGCTAGTTGAGTGCTCTCAGTATTTATCAAGGTAGAATTTCGCTGTCCACTTTTTATCAATGCATATGCATGAAGGCACTAATGAATACGGGTTCACTTTTATTTACTCATTCTACCTGTTATATTGTGTACTTCGTAATTGGCGTAATTAATACTCTGGCGTAAATTTTCTACATGTACTTACTGTCAGCTGTGAAGGACCTAAATAAATAAAATAAAATAAAAATAAATAAATCAAAGAATGTAGAATACTGAAGCTAAATCTTGATGATGATATTCTTACTTTATTCATGATGAATTATTAAATGCTAATTAAGTGCTCGTTGTAATTTGAGGACAGACTACAATGACAGTATTGTTATAACTATTAACAAAAAACAATATCACTGTAGCATTAATATTAGATCGTAAAAACGTTTGTGTTTTTTTACACGTACTTCCCTTATTGAAGTGCAGATCAAATTCTTACACATTATTCAAGTTAAAATTCAGATGCGCTGTGTAATCTCATTTTATTAACGTTGGATG